TCATTTGCAGTTGTCCGCTATTAACTTATGCGAAACCTGTTCTGAAATGCTAGAGATCGCTATGGGACAAAATTCCAAGACAAAATTTCGCTTAACAAGGTCGCTGGGTAAATTAATTTCCCACTACCCAGTGGAAACGGAATAATTACTAGAGAAAGAAATCTCTAATGCGGCAAAATATTACGGAAAACATAAACAGCTGCATAAACTTTATGTTATAAGATATGGCAGTGATCCGTATATCGAAACAGAAAAATTCATTCTTTCATTTACGTGAAACCGTCGGGAGCTGGGAGCGTATTTCGTGCATATACAGGAAATTCCTGCTCTCTTCCCTGTAGAGAACATAAGAAATTGATTAAGCTAATTATTCGCCAAATGAACACAATGCAATGGTACTTATATCGGTAGCGATCGTGCTGTTGAGCACGTGTGTCTTGAGGGATTAATAGTAACAGCATGCTTCCAGACACCGCATTGTTCATCCGCGCAGCCAATTGTAATCACTAGACGAAATCGATACCACTGACGACCAGAACTTGATTAGCCGCGTTTTTAATCATATATGAAAAAGTATATTAAATTTTCTTGTCGTATGAATACTCTCTATTAAGTCTGTTTAATTCGATGAATGGACACAAATCATATTTGGCTCATGAAGCATTAAGAACTCTTTGCATTCTATCGAATCCCGGTAAATGAATAGACTACACGATGCGGTTAGTGTACGAGTGCTACAGGGTAACTGCATCATGTGATTTTCAGTATAAAACTGACTATCACACAGATCACCTGGGCAGGAAGGTATTCAGCGACAAATCACCCCTTCAGCAACACTCTATGTTGCCATAGCATACTTGCTGCTGCTTACAGGGCCATCTTCTTCTTTAAAATCCCATCCAGAAGGAAAATGACAGATTAGTTTAAATAATATGTGTTACTCTTTCAGTCTTGTTCTGTTGCACATATGCATCTGTAGTTTGTGTGTGCAGATGGTCTTTCCGCTTATAGCAATTGCATTGCTGAAGCTAATAAGCCATTGATTGATTAATAGCGCGGCAGGGAATGACATATTAATTACAGTTCGTTTTCCTCTGCCGCATGAGATGTGTAATACTTCCAAGAAGTGGCCTGTTGAAGCTTAACACCCTTAAACTTGAATCACGTGCATCATTTTTAGTCGTACTGACCTACCACATAACAGAATGAACGACTGACTGGCTCGCAGAAGCGTTGACTAATCGATTCATCAAGTTACCGATTGCATGACATTGAGGGATGGCAAGACTCATAGCATAATCTTTATCCTTTAATGTTTGAGCATAATCGCCTGCTTTTCATTATGACCATAATAATTTGGTATAAAAACAACAGTCATTAAATTACTGATAAAATCTCCATTCAAGCAAGTACGGTAGTGTGGTACGGAAGAAGATTAAGAAGGCAACAGTAAATGAACGGTGTACAA